ATAGAATCCTAATATGTTTGCATTATTTTCTTCATTTATAACATTATGATTCCTGTATAACTTTATAACATTTAATACGTTACCGTTTTCCGAAAATTTCTTGGAAATATCTATTTTGAAAGCGTTTTGGGTAAAGTCGAATATACTGACGGTTATGTTTTTATTATTCAACCAAAACTAACCATTTTAACAATAGTGGCTTCGACAATAATTCAATCATCAACGTTGTTTACTAATATGTCCAACATAAACATATTTTTATTTGTAAACTTATATATCAGAAAATTGATAGTATTTTGTTTTATACGTCACTTGAAAAAAAAAACCTACATTTTTTTTGTTTTCCTTGATATCTCTAAAAACTAAAAAGTTACAGCCAATTAAAAAGGTATAAAGATAAATTGAACTCACGGTATATAAGAATTAGGTAGGTTGAGCTAAAATTTGAACCCGATCGGCGAAATTTGTTTGGACCTGATCGGACTGTATTCTCAGTGTGACTTGGACTACAGCCTCCCCAGAAATCCCAAAAATTCACCAAAACCAAGGTAGTACTACGTGCAATGAAAGTGGATTCAGCATTCTTTGGGCCACTCTGTAGTTCTGTTGCATACCTAATCAGGTTTTATTACTTTCCAAAATATACTATAATGACTGATGAAGATAAGCTTTATAATCAAAATCAAATAGAATTTTGTTCGGTCGAAGAAATTTTAATGACTTTTTAACTGGCCCTCTTCAGACAAAAATATCCACAATACTCAACCCTTAACTTCTCGTTCTTCATAAAACCTACACTCGAAAAGTAAAGCTCTCGCAAATTCAAAAGCCTCAATTTTTATACATATTATATTACGACGAGATGCTTCCGTCCGACGTTCCTTTATTTCCGCTTTTGCGTTTCAGAAGGAAAGTTTTTTTGCCTCTTCGGGGCTTATTTTTCTATCCGACTCCTCGACGTGCGGGTTACCGGAGAATTCAAACTACAAACAAAAGCGTAACGCAAACAAGTGGCGTTCCCGTTTTGCGTCGCATAGAATTTCAAAGTCGCTGCTCTTTCTCCTTCGTCGAGATTTCGTTATAAAATCCCCGATCTCCACTTATCCCATACACTTTTTCATAAATACTCATCGCCGTCGGGACCACTCCAACGTCTGAATCGAGCTTATCTGTCTTCGTGGGGCCCTTCATCGGGCATAAAGTTCTTGACGCGTACAAGATTACTTTTGTGTGTGTGTGTGTTTGGTAAAGAGCAAAAATGTATGTTATCGCGCATGAGGGTGCTTCAGATACCGTATCCACGACTGACCGACCACTTACGGCACTCGAGCAAGGTGATTGAACTCGAAGTCTAAAAGGGTTTTTCGACGCCATTTTAAATGATAGAGTTAACCAATATTGGCCCAAGCATAAAAAAAATAAATAAATACTTTTTTGCTATGAAATTATTAATTTTGTTGCACTTAAGAATGCATTACATAAGCTATTATCTTCATTCGGGTTTAAAGGCCGTCGTCGATTGGAATTACTTCCTAACGTTTCGCTAGCACGAGTGGCGAGCTTCTTCAGAGGTCCTTCCATCTCCGATGTTGGACGTGGACTGACGATTTCTCCTGCGCAGGTTGTATTTATGCCGATTGGTGGAGGGCGGGGCTTGTTCCGCTTCGGTTGGTCTCGGGATATCGATCGGTACTGCTCGGGCGTTCCTAAGGATCGGGTTCCAGATTTGGTTGAGTCTAAGGGTCTCCTCCTTTCGGTTGAAATTGTGTGGGTGTTTTTGAATCTCAATGGCTTCCCTGACTAGTCTGTTGTGATAGCCGTTGACCGATGCTAGTAACTTACAGCTCTCAAAGTGTATCCTGTGTTCCCCGCTGCCCAGTGCGTGTTCAGCCACTGCAGACTTCTCTGTATGTCCTAGCCTGCAGCTGGCTTTATGCTCCTTAAGTCTCGTTCCCATTGATCTCTTGGCAGTTCCGATGTAGACCTTTCCGCATGAACACGGAATGCGGTAGACTCCCGCAGCTGAAAGTGAGCCCCTCTTGTCCTTCGCTGACCTGATGGTGTGCTGGATCTTCTTTGTAGGCTTAAATATTGTTTTGATGTCGTGTCTTTTCAATACTCTGCCAATCCTGTCGGTGACACTCGGAATATACGGCAGATATGCGTGGGAGGTGGAGGGTCGTTGTTCGGTATCCCGTGATCTTGATGATCTTGAGTTCATTGATCTCTCGATCTCCCTCTTACTGTAGCCAGTATTTTTTAATGTCTTTGTTGACATCTTGATATTTTAGTGACTTTCCAATGGACACCCGGTGGTTCATAGTGGATGTAATTTAATGACTTTTGAGAATTAAGTATTTTTTCCCAAAAGCTAACTCCATTAAGTTGTTTATTTCTGTCAATTTTGGGCTCGTACGGTGCACGTATATTATTTCTGTGTAGAGGAGTTTCGTGTGTTATACAGGGATGGTTAAAACTTGCGATTATACCATTTTTTTTAAATAAATGTTTCATTAGACACTATGAACATTTTTTAAATACCAGATTCCACAAAGCATAATTAATTCAATCCTTTTTCTCGAGCTGACGAGCATTTCTCCCTTAAACAAAAACAGGTAAATAGAGAAATCGCTATATAAACATAAATAATAAAAGAAAATTAATTTTCCTAAAACACTTATGCGTTTTAATTAAAATGATTAACTTTAGACTACGTGTTTGGCCTTTAATTTACATTATGCCTCAAAGCTCGCACCACTTTGTATAATTAACGAGATTAATACATAATAATTAATCGCATCTAGTCGGAATTCCCTAACATATTTGAGGTTGTCCCTGTCCAAATAAATTACCTCACCCGTCCTCCTTCAACCTTTCGCTTTCCAGGCGCATTTTCCAGAATTGTTGAATAAAAACGCATAGTGCGGCACGTTTTTGACCTCAGGGCGTACAATAAAGTTCGACCGGATATGAGAAAAAAATCCTTTATATACAACTCCTCCCTTTTCTTTCCTCAATAATATCGTCGGACGCCCTGCCGGGGGGGTAGTGCCCGGATCCTTTTCTTTAAATAATTCAAAGCGCCATACTGTTATATAAAATAAAAGGGATCCATTAAAATGGAAGGCGCGTTGCCTTCTGGGTCGGGTTTAATTGTTTTTGGGGCTTTGCGAGTTAGATTCGTGCGACGACATACAACGTTCACGTGTAGAATTACTTTGGTTTTGTTCCGACGTTAATGACAATCGGCTTAGAATATATTTGCTTTTCATTTCGGTGGTCTTTGAGCGAGAGCGAGCCGAATACAAATGTGGTTAATGGATGTTTAGTTTTTCTTTGCTATATAAATCTCTGGACACCCGAAATAGATATTAAGCAAAAAATTTGGACCGTGTTGATGGTGGTTGGTGCTATCAGAGAAATTCTATTGTATGTAGGTGTGTGTATTCGCAAAAAATTGAAACATGGGTTTGGCAATTACTATAAAATCGTTAAAACTGTTAATTTTTTTACATGACGATATAGCTCGTATAGGGAATTAAAACTTTTGTATTTAAGGCTTCACATATTTGGATATTTTCTTTTGGTTATTTTGGGTTCCAGAACGAAAGGTTTCTCGTAAAGTATTTATCAGATCATCAAAATTCTTGAACCAGAAGGCGGACGAGATCCGGGATTATTCTGGACAAATACCTAAAAGACTCCAAAAATTGTTAGCCGTTAATAAAAATGAGCTACAATTTTTGAAGCAACAGTTTTTTTCATCGCACACGCCGGGGAAAATATTCAAAAAGCTGCATGTGAATATTACTATTTCTCGTGCTCAATGTAGACGCCATGACGTCATTTACTCCTACAACACTGCATAGTTCCAGAAAATAATTAACTGCTCAAAAATGTAAATATGTATTTGTTTAGTTTAAAGCGTGAGTATATGCTGTTAAGTAGTGATCACAGCATTATATGATCAGTTATAAAATGATAACAATATAAGAGGCGAAAGGATGTTCCAAAAGTTCTCTAAAAGTTAAAAGTAAAACTGTTAAGCCCTGGTGAAGACAACAGGATATTTCATTTATAAGCTACCGATACAGGAGGAATGAAGAAAATTTGTAAATATTACTTGTAATTTAAACATTTAACTATTTTTGCAACACAAGATTGTTCTTTTTCCAATTTTTTTAATATGCTACCATGTATATTATTGCATAGTGTAATTGAAAGTTATATTTAATATTTTCTATCAGAAGTCAGAAGAAACACTCTTTTAGTCTCTTTAGTCCAGATTCTGACAAAGTTTGAAAGGTTTTTAATTTAACCCATATTATCCCAAGCATAAAAAAAAATACAAAAATGCTTTTTTGCTCTGAAATTATTTAACATATAAACAAATACTGGTGCATAAACGAACCACTGGGAAAAAACATTAAATAATGTTTTGGGGCACATAAGATGTAACATATAATTTATATATAAATATACAAGAGAAAGTTCAAATTTGGCAGAAAACAACTAAAAGTAGATTGTTTTCCAAATAGAACCTGATTTGATACAAAAAAGTATAATACTTTATGGTAACACCCGGTTTCATTTTTGGTGTTTTTTTTACAAAGCATGAAGTATATAAATGCACATTACATTTATTACCAACATAAATTGTGTGACTGTGGCAGATTTTACATCTCCTTCGGGTTTCTTAGCATGAACAATAGTGAGGTGACCTTGATTATCATAACCCACTTCATCTATGGCAGGTGCAAGATTTCTTTGAGTAATTGTTTTATCAGTTTTTAAAAATCAAATCAACCACTTGATCATCAAAAAACATAAAAAATATTTAAAGCGGAGTTTTTCTAGAAAGCCTATTTTTTAGTTCCTCATATGATCTAAATTCATCGGATATAGGTGTGTGAGTGTACTCAATCTGACCTTTCTTCCATTTGACAGTAGAAGCAAGGAATGGAATGCTACAATACTTACTTACTACAAATAATACTTACGACTTTGATTGTTATTGTCTTCATCCATCCCCTTCATAGCCGTCTCTAATTCCTTTTGAGTCAAATACCTCGGAAATGCCTTATTTTACGAACTGTAGCGTTAACTGCACAAGGCACAAACTAATACTAAAGAATACGCTAATTGTTGGATGTTTATTCTACACGCACTGACTAGGCTAGACTTGCAATAACAAAGTTTTGTTTCGCAGATAAAGCCAGTGGTGCATTCACGCACCAGTAAATATTTTCAACAAATAAAGCATAATCAAAATAGTATACAATACAAATCCAAAATATATTTTTTTACTATTTTGGATTTACTTGAAAATGTGATACACTTTTTGAAGTCTAAGATAAGATCTTTCCATTACACATAAATTAGCGATTTCTACGGTTTTATGTCCTTTAGTAGTGATAATAATAAAATTTATAAATGGATGTGCAAAAATATTTCCGGGATGTGACAAAAAAAATCATAGAACAGGTGGTGCATTAACGCACCACTGGAACAAAATGGGTTAATTTATATCAAAGGACTCTAGCCATCCAGATGACCCGATTTGTAGCCCTTGGATTTTCCACCTCGGGGCTGAATAAAAAAACTAGTGCACAAATTAGAGAGAAATTATTGAATTGTGTTGACGAAGCCTTTACTAATCTAAAACCTACTATAAGTTATATTTAAAATTTAGTTTTTTAATGGATAAGTCTGCAGAAAATTTTCTAGAGGATTGGAAATAGAATTTATTGAAATGTAATTTAGGTAAAATAATTTTTTCAAAGAAAATGATTTTCTTTGTTGGCAAATATGGAAAAAAAACTTAATAGTATATACTATACATTTTTTTTAATTAAAACTCCGAATTATGTTGACATAGATTTTTCTTTTAGTTGTTTACTATGAACTTGATTTTAGTTTTTGAATTAACTAATAATACTGGTAATATGCAGTGTAAAGAATTGTTAGAAGGGAATTAAACAAAAAAATGGAAATTGTTGTTGCCAAATAAAAAGCAAAAATATATTAAAGGCTTCTAAAGCATTGAATTCGATGATTACCGTCAAACACAAGGAAAGACGTTAAAAAAATGTTGATAGTTTTCGAGTTTTTGTTCAAACGATCATTGTATCTTGTAGTTCGGTCAAATTTCAACAATAAAAAATCCCTCCGTATTGGGACTCGGTGCAATTTTTAATTAGACTGGCAAATTCGGAAAATTGCGCGCTTCGATCGGATATTTTGTTCGACCGTTATCTAAAGCTGTTCGCGTCGGTGGGTATGAATATAGAAAGGTCAACGGTCAATATTATTATTAATGCAATCCACGCATAATGGTGCGGTTTTAATCAAAGTTACTTTAGCAATTAGTTTAATCATATGCAATCGATAATTGTTGCGGTGTAATAATAATTCGTATCTGGTCGTTGTCGTGTGTACGACACACGCGGGATAGTAATGTGTCTACTCTTCCAGTCTGTTACTTGCAGATGAATCTGGTCAATCCGATAATGGCAGTGAAACGACGTCATCTGTTTTAGTTTATTCTCCAATGTACTTACGTTATCTTATTACGTTATAAACTTAATGGTAAGCCAATAAACAAAATTGGCAATAGTGGTAAAGCTTCTCTGAAAGTATTTCCTCAAGAGCAAACATAAAAAATATAAAAAAAGAAAATTCTTATGGTACTTACATTCAAAAAGTATGCCGACTATATGCTGCATCCATTGACCTCTACAACCCTGAAAATTTTGCCTGTAGCTCACATCTTTAAAAAGAACGACAACCATTCTGCAAGAACCTATTGTTCAATAGAAATCATATCATACTGTGTTAAAATATTTCAATACGCCATCATACACTGAGTGTGAGAAGCACCATGCTAGGATATCTTGCGATCTTAAAAGGGTTTGACTGTATCCGAAATTCTTTTGATTATAATAGAAGAATACGAAATTCGTAGAATTGGTTTGGACTGGATTAATCGTTAACAAACCTCAACTCCAAACTATCATCATAGAGTGATAGAGGCAAGGTTTAAGCCTAATTTTGTTTTACTTTTCATTAATGAAACTCCTGCTCATCTAATTAATCTGAGTTTATCGAAGTTCAAGTTTAATCTCCTTACACTGTGATCAAACTCTCGAGACAGAATTAGTTCAACCCTGGTTTAACACCAATCAACTCTTTCTGAATGTTTAAAGAACAAGTGTAGTGGTATCCAAAGGCCCACAAAACAATAAATGCGAATGTCTGGTCGGGCGGGGAATCAGTTCAAATATAAAGCAGGCTAAATTGTTAATAACTAGAACTCTACGAAACCCCATCTCAGGAAACTCAATGCCAGTTACTTTCTTCAAAGCTGCAAAACCGGGTAAATAACCTCCAGTCCGTGTAATTTAGTTCATTATTTTTTATTGAAAGTAGAATAGGTCGGGGAACCTTTGACATCGACGGAAAGCTTATTAAAGACTTTAGAAGCTTGAAAAGAAACTCGGAAAAGCTTAGAATGCCTCGTTTGTTGTATTCATTGATATTTTAACAAAATTTTAATTTCATATTTTTGTCCAACATATCTTTATATTCACAATTCTCAGTAAGTTGGAAGCATATGGGAAAATTTTAATTAATAATTTTAGGAAGAAAAGGTATTCTTAATTAAAACTTACTAAGATATATTGTATAAAAAAATTTAATTTATGAAAAATAAGATAGCGAACACATGAATGGAAAGTGTAGATCATTAATTTTCTGAATTTTTCGACCGAAATTCGGCAACCGTAACCTTAAAAAAACATTTCGAATGGGAGCAAGAAGATGAACTTGATACACAACAACATTTATTCTCCAAGAAAAGAGGACAAAAGAGGGTAGTATAATAAACAATTTAAAAAGTTACCCAGCTTTGCCTCATCAAAATCTCCAACAATGACGTCTACTTCTACAATACTAAGCATGCGCGAAGCAAATAAACACCAAACCCCCTTTTCGTATCATTTAGACAGAATAATGGCGAAAGTTTGGGTATTGTAGGTGGTTTTCTGCACGAAAACATTGAAAATCAATGCTCCGAATTTCTTGTTCGTTTATTTCAAACCTCTTTGTTTATGCGTCGCAAATAAACGACCAAACAATACGTATCGAATGGCGTCGGATTTTCCCGAATCCGAGTCGATCGTTGATCCTTTAATAACCTCGTAATTAAATATCGATTTCTGATATCAACCGTTTTAATTATAAAGGTTCCGCTCAGTTTATTTTCATTAAATTGGATAAATCTTTGGATCGCCACAGAATCATAATCCGCTAGCGCTCTGCTGGAATTCCGCCGATAGTTTCATCGCTGCCGCCATGCCGTTAAATTGAAAATGCATATGTAGGGGGCGCCCACTTGTTTGAGTTTGAGCGAAATCGTCATTTTTGTTTAACGCTTTTGTAATCTGTGCTTTATTTATATCTACCGTCTAATAACACGAGGATATATACGGGGCGCTTGGCCAAACAACCAAAAATATAATCCAAAAAAGTTATTAATTAAAACTAATGAACCAAACATACCGATTCTGTTTCTAGCAATTATGGTTAATACTAACTTAAAGATTCTTCTGTATTCTGTTCTCTCAAATTTAACAATCCCAAATATCACTTAACAATTGTTAAATCGATTGTTAACTTAGCAATCACTTTTTGCTCTTATTTTTGCTTGTGGTATTTGGCAGTAGCATTTTTTGATGTAAACTTTTTAGCTGCTTTAGGAAATGTAAAAAATAAATAAATGTTGACACTATTTCATTACTTTATAGGTCTTGGTTAGTTTCAATTTTATGGTGCTTATCAGATTATAGCAATTAATAAGCGGTTGATAATAAAATGAAATTGCTGATGTTTCGTCAATCATCCTGCTAGCTTAACTTAAACAGTTAGCAGTCCTGTTGGCTTAACTGATACTGCTTTAGTCAACCAAACCCAACCAAAAGATTTGTACATTGTGAGTCAGTGTGTGTGTATGTTTTTCATTCTTCCATTATCCAATCTAAAAATGTTTAATGAGTCTTCTACTTACTGGTCTAAGTAAACAAGTAACGAAATCAAACGCAGATATTATGTAGGTTATGTTCAATGCAGTTTGGCGCATTCTTCTTATTTCGTTCAATAACCAATTGGCAATGTCATTAGCAATATTGGTTATGGTCTTGTTTCATAGCTACTACTGTTAAGATGAAAGGAAGAAACAATATTGTTATTTAACCATGATCATAACACTGTAGAAACAGAATAGTTCTGAATAATTGCCTCGAGTACAACGCCAATATTGAGCGAAATATTGACTTATATCTATTTTCGTTGGGTTTTTGTTTGGGGGGGGGGGTGTTCAGGGTTTATACGTATCTTCAGCTTGTTCATCGTATTAAGTAACATACAATTATACCTTTTCGTGTTTTTGGAAAACGGAAGTAATTATTTATTTAATCAATACATTTTTTAAATTTTGATTCAACCAAAAGATTTTTTCTAAAAGACGCCAAAGAACCGTTACAATTAATCTAATTAATAAAATACAATCAATATAAAAACGTATTTAGTGGCTTTAATGAGCAAAATGTAAAAGATGTAAGATGTAAGAAAAGAAGAAAGAATTAAAGTTTGTTAAAATTTCCTTTTCGCCTATCCCAAATTTCTGTTACTTTTGGAAATACTGGGTGATTTATAAAAATCGCCGAAATTTTGTATGATACGTATAAATCGCTTGATTTTAACACCAAATAATTAAAAATAAAAGTGTTTTTATTGTTAACTTCCAGATTCTGTTAAATAGGAATCAATATGTTGCCGAATATTTCGATTGCTTCTAACGTAAATGTCGTAGGAGTCTTCACCACTTTTCAAATAAAGTCTTTTAAATTGGCAAACACATTTTTTAAACTCCACATGGCATAATTGTCATGTCAAGCTATTTTAAAAAATACTTTATTTCTACTACGACTTTAGTTGCATAGACATCTTAAAACTAATATCACATTTGATTTCAAAATGGCGGTATTAAAGTGGAAATGTTGTTTGTGTGCCGCCATCACCTTTTTTTTTTAATATGGAACTGGAATTGGCTTCTAATC